TCTTGGCTTCCTATGCAGAACCACTAGCTTCTAATAGGCCAAACACTAAACTGAAGCTTTCACCATCTCTTGCTCCGTTTCTGATTTCTTTTCTTTTTTATTTTCCCTTTTTCTGCCCCCTCACAAGTTTATTATTAGACTCTAGCTGTGTGTTGTTGGTTCAAGGTAATAACTCTAGCAGCCTAAACCAGCAATCATCATTTTGCTACTGCCAATTTACTTTTACTCTTAAATAAACACAGATTTGTGTTCTAAATATGAGTCCATGGAGGTTTTCCAGAGCAATAACAACTTAAGTTTGCATATTACTTTTCCAGGAGAAAGGGAGAAATGTTTAATAGATTCCAAATTTAAAAGATATACTAGGTGCAAAACCTAACTGGACAGCTATAAATTTGCATAGTAGTTTATGATCATTCCTTTCATATCCATTCCTCATTATTTTTGGCAGTATCACTGAGCTCTAGAAGCTTCAACTATGGATGGCAATAGTCTCTTTTCATATATTTTTTTTATTTCTAGTTTGTGTTGTCTGAATATGGGGAAAATAAAATTTTCTTTTGGTGGCTTGGGGCGGAATTCCAAATTCCTCAGTTTTCCATTCTTGTTTTATTTTATTGTATGCTTTTGCTAATAAAAGAGTTCTGTGTATTCAACGCAATAAACCAGGAGACTGTGACTTGATAAAGATAATATTTGTACTCAGGTTTGAAATGAGGGGATCTTGGTATTCTCTGAACTTGGTTGTATTTTTGCAGATGTTTCATTATCCAAACTAGGTAACATCATCAGTTACCTAGTTTGGGTAATGAAACTTCTGCAAGAAAACTCAGAGAGCACCAAGGACCCCTCAAACTGTGAATTCTAGTCCCGCATTAGGCATAAAAGCCAGCTGGGTGACTTTGAGCCATTCAGTCCAAGTCTCAGTCTCAGAGTTGTTGCTGTAGGGAAAGTAGGACGAGGAAGTAGTATCAGGTAAGATGGCCATTTTGAGTTATTTATTAAAAAAATACTTTTAAAAAGATGTCAGGTGACAATTATTGAACAAAATTCAGAATTTGATAATTTGATATCCTATTTGCATAAATTGGAACTTAACTCCCATAATTTCTAGATAAGCAACTGAAATAATACCCCAGCTACTGTCTAGTTGATACCTATGATAATCAGTCACCTTCCAAACTGAAGTCAGCACTGGCCAGAGACCAAATTGTGTTTTCCTAGGAACAGCATAATACAGGTCTGAAGAAACAGTATCTGCAGAGAAGAAGTGATAGTTTGAAATATATTTAAAAATGCAGAGCTGCTAACAATAAGCCTATAATGATGTAAATGAAATATTGATGATGCGGCTAAGTTCCCAACTCTATCTAGAAATCTCCCACAGTGGATTTCTTAATTGCTTATTTACATATCAGCTTTGGATGTTCATGGGTCAACAAAAGGCTAACCAGCTCAGGGATTATTGGAATATCTCTTAGTAATTTGTTGTAGAAAGTGAGAATTTTTTTATTCCCAATTGTTCAATAATATCAAGAGCAAGCATAGGTTTTCTCTACCCTTTCCTCTACTATTAAACTATTGAAACAAAGAAAATGTCAAAAGAAAAACAGGACTTGATTTTTGTGAAAAAAATCTTTCTAAATTTAATTATGATTCTTTGGCTGGGTTTCAACTTAGACATATTCTCTTCTTTTGCTTAAATTATCTGTGTCTTACTTGTGAATCCTGAGTTTTAATTTGCTGCCATTGAATGGACCTAGGGGTTATAGTAAAAAAAGCAAATGAGATCTCACAGTTTGAAAAAATCTACTTGCACAGCCTGGAGGAATTAACAAACCTAGAACAGTGTCTCTTTCAGAAATATTATGAAATATGGGGAACAATCTGCCAAAGTTAACATCCTGAATATTGCATGATATTACATTGCTGCCATTGGTAATATATTTCAGTTTAAACATTTATTTAATAGCCTAAGGTATCTTTATTTCAGCCCATAAATAACTCAATATTGATGCTGTTGTTATTGCACACAATGACCTTGTGAAGTCATCAGTTCCACAGTAGGACTACAGAGAAATGTCCCTGGCACAGTTTTCAGTGGCAAGGTTTACTATGAGCAGCCTCCCATAAAATTATCTTCTCCAGATGTTTTTTGAGTATTCTCAGATTGGTAATCCAATACATCTGGAAGACAAAAAGTTGGGGATGGCTGATATAGAGACAATCCTAAAGACCTGATGATAGTCAAAGTATTGTAAAACTGATGAAATTGTTTCATTCAGATTTGTGCTATAAGAATCCCTTTTTTCCTAGAAATTATCTTGACAAAAATTTTAAAAAATGCAAAAATTCTTAAATGTAGCCTACTATAACAAGAAATAATATCATCACCCCCAGAAAGTAAATATGGGAGAAATGTAGGCTTTGGTTCCTCTTAGTGAAAGAAACACTATCTACCGTATTGTAGTTGTTTTTCAAATTCTGTTTTTCATGTATTGAAATACATTCTATACCTAAGCCTTAGCAAGTACTCAAATTAAGGCTTTTTTCCCTGCCTAAATGTATTCTCTCTCCTGGTCTCTGTTGTACCTATGCCATTTTTCTTTCATCTTTTTTAATGGTGTATGTTGGTCTTTTCTGTGTCAATATTTCTCCAGCACTATCATTTATTTTCTTCCATTCTGCAGTTGTATCCATTCAACTTTCTCTGAATGCACATGCTTAAACCACAAAGGCTTCATAAATAGCATTCTTATTTTGCACTTGCTAAAATTAATATTTGTAAGAATAATCTGTGAGAAAGTTACTTCATTGTACAAACAGATTGTTTGCATCTAATATAATTTAATTTTTTCAAGAAATGCGTTTGCAGACTAAATTCAGTGATGATTCCTCTTTCTACAGAGATCTGCTTAAAATGCAATGTATACTATCTCAGCCAAGCAGAGGCTTTATTCATATTTGCTCTCAACATCACAAAGAATGCCAGTATTCATGGAGGAAGAACTATTCCTGTAGGTACATGTAGTCTGCTAGAAAGGCAAGCCAAAATTACAATCATCGTTTTTTTTTAAATGGTGTTGGATCAGAGCACTTTAAGAGGAAGTACAAAAACATACAAAAAAGAGGCATTGTTGCTAATTATATTCATTGTCAAGTAATGTGTTATTTTGTCTACCATTTCTACAATAGCTCATAGTGAGGGCTGCCAGTTTCCTTGGATTCACAGAATAGTCTGCTTAGCATTACTCTCATTGTAGAGCTAGATCTGTTATACTTCGACACAACTAGATAACATCTTCAGTACTATTGAATGTGAGGTTTATGTACAATAGTTTGCCTTGCCAGTATTGATGGGATATGATTTTCTTCTTAAGGGGGAACTACTAAGGAAAAAATCCATACCCCATCAACACTCGCTACTGTATATAAACAGAGAAAAACTAGTTATGAATCAACTTATTTATTTCACATATCTATCATCTATCTATCTATCTATCTATCTAATATATTTTAACATAGCATCAGATAACAAAACAATTTTCTTCATGCTATGATTCCTTACAAGTAATTATAAAAACTTTATCTGAAATGGTCTAATCTAACAATGTCAAGAACTTTTGGGATTTGCTAACTTTGTACCAACTTTTTATTCTCATGTAAAGGGAAATAACTTATGTTATGGGGAAGAAATACTTGGAACTGAAATGGTACATGTCAATGAAATTGCAATTATATTATTTTTATGGATACACTCATATCCATCCATCCATCCATCAAAGCCCAAAGATAAAAATGTTATTATGACTGATAAACCTTTATACTACTGGAAATAATATTTTCATTAACACGCTATTATAACAATAGAATAGTGGAAAACCCTCTCTACAAAAATCTGGATTAATTCAAATCCACAAATGAAGATAAGATGACACACTTTGACCACAGAAAAGAAGTGCTAATATTGAGGACTTATTATTATTATTATTATTATTATTATTATTATTATTATTATTATTATTATTATTATTATTATTATATTGCAGTATTATATTATTTCACACAGATCATGTATAATCTCATTTTCTCCTTAAATGTTTAGTGATACTAATTCATGTGATAATATATAATACTCCAGCATCACCATCCTTAGAACATCTTTTGGGCAATTTATCATGTTCATGTAGTAATAATTAAAGGTAGGAATGTATGAAAAAGTATTTATCAGAGTTTGGGTATTCTGCCCCTTTTCTAAGATCCATGAACTAGTTCATACATGACATATCCAATGGGGGAACAACACATTTTTAGACTTTTATCTCTTTTGGAAAATGTGTCAAATTCCTGTCTGTCAACCAGGTAAGTAAATGATGGGTTATTAGAATGGTAGGTGCATTCTTTACATGTATTTAAAATCGTCATACATCACTTGTCCTGGCAGCAAATACTGAAGCTGCTGCACTAGTTTCAAGGGTGCTCGTGCTGCTGTCAGAGTGAGCTGCAAAAAAAGTGTAACATTTAAACATGCACTAAAGCAACCTTCATTGTCCTGGGGTCCTCCAAATGTGTTGAACTACTGTTCCAAGAATCCTCAGCCAGGTGTGTTTTCAACAAACGTAGAAGCTGTCAGACTGAGAAAAAATATGTTCCTATATTCCTATTATTTTAGGATAATATTGGGAATAGAGCAGGACATTAAAATTTTAGGTTAAACTAAAATGGCGCCTGGACATATCTAAGAGAAGACACCTGGAACAATTGTTATGGAGCAAAAAACAAAACCCCACAATTTCCCTATGAGATTCTAGGCTACTTGGGCCCAGTCCAGATGATTCTTACAACATCTCTTTGAAATATCAAGGTTTTTTTAGTCATGTGACAATATGATTCTGGAAAACTCATCTCTTAGTAACTCTTCCTAACCTTTTGCAATATGTTATACTCTGGTGCACTTTTCCAAGATTCTTAATGTTGATTTTGATTTTTTTTCCTCCCAGGGACCTAAATTATAATGAGCTGATGGAATTCCCAATGGCGATTAAGTCACTCAATAGACTTCAAGAGCTGTAAGACTTTTATTTTCTTTCTGTAGGAATAATGTTCAAACAGATCATTTGGGCTCAACTCTAATGTGGGCAATCCCAAACCCTAATGGGCATTCTTTCACCATTTCTCCATAATTCTGCTTGATCATATTCAGCATGGCAGTAAATGTTTCACAGACATCATTAATATATTGTTAAACTTCCATACAGTTAATTACCAGCAGGGAATCTGCTGTGAGCTTTATTAATGATGGCTTTGACCCCAGTGATGACATATGTACACACTTATAAGTCTGGATAGAGCCATTAAAAGCACACAGAACTGACAGGGACGTACTTTTCTTTTTCCTTCTTGCTTGGCTAATTTTTGCTGTTCCTGCTGTTTTTCTGTTCCCAGAAAAAGTTTGGGGCTTCTAATTATTACTTTCAGTGGAATTCTCTTTTCCACCTCACTGAAGTCCATTCATTCTTTTATGACATGGACAATTTGTGACATCTCAAGCAAGATTCATGCATTATGAGTAAATTTCCCAGGCATTAAGGTATATCCACATGCCCCTAATTGTGTGGATGATGCTTCCAGTTTCTGCATTCCACTCAACTGGAATACTTTAGTTGCCTTGGTGACATGAAATTACGCTGCTCCCAGGATAAAGATGTAAACTCTCAAGTTTACATTGTTGACTTCTTTGAGCAAAGAGGATGTCTCTTCTGCTTGATAATGCATATTCTAATAGAATTTCTGATTGCCATATGATACTAGACATTTGTTCTAATTCAGATTTACTAAAAAGTTAACTTTGGTATTTGGTTTACAATTTTCATTCCATGTTTCCATCCCATAAACTATAAATACAAACATACTTATATCATGGAGTAGCTGGAGGATTCAAACACAAACTTTGTTTTCATGTGAATTGCTTATTTGACAAATAAAATAAAATAATTAATATATTTGCATGTTCGTGCAGCTGGGAAGCATTATTTATGTCAGCTTTTAGCCATGTGAATTCAGCAAAAGAGAAATCTGTCCATTTGACCCATTCGATCATCATTCATACAGCTATGTAGTAAATTTTAGTTTTCCTGCTCTGTTTCTTTTAACCATCCTAGAATTTTGTTTGTTTGTTTAAAGGGGCTTCCATAACAACAACATCCAGGCTATTCCAGAGAAAGCATTTGCTGGAAATCCTGTACTTCAAATTATGTAAGAAACAGCACCATAAAATTCAGACCCATTTCTTGATCCCCAGTCTTCCAATTATATTTACAAGTAATATCATAAGCATCCATACTAATCCTGTTGATGCCAGAATGGTGAAATAGTACTGTGATATCATAACCTAAGGTTTCTTCTTTCATATTGAGATAGTATGCATAAAGATGGCATTTGTGTCATGACAATGCAATACCTTTGTCAGGACCCTTTTGCTTTCCTCTCCTGTGGATATTTCTGTGCATGAGAGCCCCAGAGAGAGAGGAAGGAAGGAGAAAATGATAAAACCTGTGTGGCAATACCCTCATGCAATTGCTGCCAGTTATGAGTTTTGCATTAGACATCAGGATGCAAGTATTTATTTGTGGTAATGATGTCACCAAATTCATATTGTCATTTTGGCATCATTGTGCTTTGCTGTGGATGCTGTTATATGAGTGAATGGGTATGTCACTGATTTCTAAGGCAGAAAGATACTGCCAATGTCCTTATTTCTGACCCAAAATACATATTTTGCCTAATCAAATTTTTATTATGCTCAAGAAGCAGCCTAACTGCTCCCATTTGATATCAGATGCTAACTCATCACACATTGGCTACCAATGTTGTTGCATCGCATCTCCTAGCTTTCCTTACCTCTGAAATCCAGATTGGGACCGCTGTGAGTTTTAGTTGAGCAACATCTGGAGAATCATAGTTTTCCCATCCCTGTTCCAAAAAACATAATCTTTCAGGAAAGTGGAAAACTGAAAAAGCATGTTTGCACATCATCTTTAACAATGCCACCTCACATAAATCTTTGTATCTTCCTATATCTGGAAAAGTACCATTATTCTGCATTGTTTTACCTAAGAACAGCTGTTGAACCAATTATATATCCATTTTCCTATTTCATTTTTCTACTGGGATAACAGAGGATTATGTTAGTTTAGAAACTGGAAAAAAAAAATCTAAGGAAAACTTTCCAATTCATCTCTGTGTTGTTTTCTTAATTTCCTTCAAATAAATGAGTACATTATAGTCTTGGAAATTACGCCATGATGCCAAAGAGATGTTCACATGCTATGTGGTAAATATATTTTCATGTAACACCAATCATTTATTGAACAGTCTTCCAACTGGCTATCCTGAGCCCTTGAAGAAGTAAAGGATGATGTGAAGTGTGCTTTTTCCCCTCTCCTGCAGGACTTTAACCCAGGCTGGAATCCATTTGCTTCCGGGAGGAATGTGTCAGCAGTTGGCCAGCCTACGAGTTCTGTAAGTTATAAGCACATTTTGCTTTCTTCAGGCTTTGGGGAATTGCCTTTATTACCAATACACCGTTCATTGGTCTGTTGCTGAACAATCAAATATAAGGGTTCTTTTGTACAGTTGTGGCAAGTGTTTCATTTGCCTCCTTTCTCCATTCCAGGAACTGATAATAAGGGAATCGTAGGATTATATCTGTGTCCTTTTTCAGATTGCTTGCATAAATTGAGAGCCCTGGTTGCAAAAAAGCAAGGGTGGAAATGGAGAAAAAAAAAGATATCTGAAATCAAAAATGCTTTAGTGCAAGTTGATGGAAACCCTGCTGCAATTGAGACATAAGGGGGAGGGCCTGTAGAATAAGAATCTAGCATTTAACATTCTCAGCATACAAACAAAGCTGTTTAAAATAATGTAATGATATCACATTTATTAATATTTGGAATGTGTCTCTACTGAACATTTTTTATTTATTCTATTGTTTTTAAGTTATGTTATTTTGAACATCACTCAAAAATACCTTACATAAATACAAACAGCATGAAAGCAGATGTTATGTTACTCTAACATGTGGGGAAAACATGTGTTTGTCATCTTCTAAAGCAGTAATGGAGAACTTGCAGCAGCTTTTCACTAGTTGCTGAACTGTCCCTTAATATTGGGCTATTATTGAAGGGCTTCAAAGCCCTCTGCTGCCTTAGAGAAGCACTAAATAAGTTGTTTATAGCACTGGTTTTTCTATTATTATTAAATTGGGCGTAATAGACAAGTTAATAAGAAATGGATTGGAGTAATCAAGGAATAATACCAGAAACCGGATAATGAAATGAATAAAAGGAACAGTGCCAAGCATCAGTTGGGTACAAGAAGATTTACCTGTCTGTGGGGTTTCCTGCTTACCCAGCTGCATAGCCTGAGGTCATGCACTCCCTTCCTCTGTACCGTATGCATGCCAAGAGGGCCTTTAAGAAGACTGACTTTGTTCTAACCTTTGTTATTTTCCACACAGTGAGCTTGCGCACAATCACATTGAGAAACTGCCCAGTTTTCACCAGTGCCAGAAGCTGGAAGAAATGTAAGTGTTGCTTTGCTGTGAAATTCCCAGATCCAAGTAACTTACTGAGCATCTGGCGGGTATGTGTGAACAACTGAGAGATTAAACCTGATACATAGTGACCTAGTGTGGAGTCTTCTGGAGGTTTTATATCTCAGAGATTTTTGGGGGGGATGTTCTTTCTTTCTTTTTATCACTTTCCACCCTCCCACCTTCCTCTTTGATTGTGCCCAGTAGATAACATAAACGCCTGAATTGATATTTGTGTCGTTCTGATGCTGAAAATAATAGGAGCATCCAAAATATTTTATAACTTGAGTTTGACTCACAAAGGTTACCGTGAAAGCAAGACATGAAAGCACAGAGTCCCCAGTGTTTTCTGCCTGTTCCCTTTAGATATGGTATTCTTGTGGCTGAGAATATCATCTGGTGTCATGGAGCTCTCCAAGCTCCATAGCAGGAGCAGATGTTGAAGAGGCCTGGGAACTCTTGGTAAAAAGAAACTTTGTTACTTGCACGCTTTTGATTTGAATGGTGCACTGCCCCAAGCCTGAGGCTCTTCAAGGGGAAAAGGGTGGGAGAGGATTGGGTGGATATGTTCCTTGACCCACTTTCCCCTTGAAATTTGAATCCCTGTGCAATCCTTAATAGAAGTAACCTTCTTCGCAGAAATGCTTTCTTCTGTTGCCAGTGGAGCACGTTTTTCTCTCTCATTGCAGCCTTTCTGTCTTTGCAGTGGCCTTCAGCACAACTGTATCCACGAAATTGGAGCAGACACCTTTGGGCAGCTCACAGCCTTGCGCTCCCTGTAAGTACAGCCAGCAGGGAGCTGTCAGGGCCTTCTGTTATAGAAGAAAAGAGTCAGGAGATTGTGAACTGAGTAAGGCTTTATGCTCTTAACAAGATTACAGGCTCAGTTATATATATATAAAATTCAAAGTAAGTTGGCGCTACCAGGCCATTGTCACCCAATATTTAATCCCAATACAGTTAAGCATAGACCCAGGCTGCAGAAGCACTCTGCAAAATGAATTTAAAATATTGTAGAAAGAAAAATCTTCATCAGAGTCCAGTCCAAACTGTGAATAAACAAAATGGAGCCTGCTTTAGAAAGAAGGTTGCAGTTTATTGAAGAGCAGAGCCAGACAGAAGTGTGGCTCTGGGAAAGCTGACCTCATGTAGCAGGGAGTGGTGGGGTTTTATACCTTCTTGAGCTTTTGTTTAGAATTCTTCCTGTTTGAGGCTTTGTATTTCTGTGTCATGTACTTTGACTTGAGTGTGCCCTTTTGGTATTGGTGGGTTAATCCTATCATGTCTCCTATCCTTAGAATTTGAGTGGGGGGTATGTAGATTTTAGGTGTCTTTGTCTTCCTAATAGCTTCCTGGCTCCAACCTTTCTGAATGGATTATTACATCTGCATTTCTAAAAGCTGGCCTCTGTCTAGTTTCTGCTTGGGGGAGAAGAGCTGGGGCTGGTTTCTGGGGGCTGGTTTCTGTCTTTTTTTAAGATCTTCTCCATTATTCCTTGGGGAAATATATTTGCCTTTTTAATATTCCCCAAAATATTTCTTTCTCTGGATTTTTCCACAATATGAACACAAAATAACAGTCTTTCCCACCTGGTACTCTCCAGAAATGTTGGGTTATAATATTTGACCCCTGACTCTGCAATCACTAGACAGCATGGCTAATGATTATGTTGGATAGGGATTTGGGGAGTGAAAATTCTATTCATCTGGAAGACATCATATTGGGGAAGGCAGCCTTTGTTGTGTCATTTCTCTCATGTATACTGAAAAAAGCTATGATATGTTACCTTCTTCAAAATCACAAACAGGAGGAGAAATAGATCCACATTTCAAAAGTTTTCCATTTTTTTAATCTGCAAAATATTTAATAAACAAAGTTCACCATTAACTTGCCTTGGTAGCCTGTAAACTACTTTAACTGCTGTGCAAAAGTAATTATATGCGAATTCTTTTAACCCCCAGTGTTGATTTTTGTCCCTATACCAGTCTCCTGACCAAAGGTTTTGGAATATGGGTTAGAATATAGCACCACATGACTTATTCAAATGTGCACAGAGGCATACAATCACACCCACATTCTAGAAGTTCCAGGTTTTCTGGGAAAAGCCAAACTAGGAAAAATGCTCCAGTTTCCAAGGGTTTTTCTCAGGTGGATAATAGTAGAAGTGCAGGCAGCTAAAAGCTTGTGTAAGCCGCCGTATGGAGAATTACTTTCATATTCATTGCTCCTTATACTTTCTTATTGTTGCATTTAGGCTGAGAATTATTGGATGCTCACTAGATGACAGTAAATAATCTATCAGTCACCAAGTTTTTGAAGATTATTTGTGGTAGCCCTGAGTTAAATACTATACATGAACTAGGAAAGGCAATGGCAGCATGGAAAGCAATAGTTACAGAGTTGGGATCAAATAATTAGGCCACTTTGAAAGTTCCTGAGTTTTCTTTCATTCATCTAATTTGAGGCACTTCCAGATATAATGAGAGTTGGGGATGGAAAAGAAAATCTGTTCCATCTCCTCACTGATAGAGAGGTCTATCATTAATTATCCATTAATTTGATTTGACCTGAAATCATTTTGCATGCAAAGGGCACAATTGGGAATAGGAAGTCTTTAGAATTTCTGAAAATGGTTTCATTATAGATAGATTTTTCCTCTCCAGAAATTATTTGGCCACCTCAAAAGCTTGTTATGTTATCAGATATTTTGTATTTTTAAGTTTATTTTTAAAATAACATTTCTATTACATCTAAAACCCAGTGCCAGGCAATCTTGCCAGTGCTCATACTAGCACAAGCTGATAGGAATTGTCATCTAAGGTCTAGTTGGTACTGTGTTGCCTTCCTCTAACTGATGTCCTTCACAGCAGATTGCAAGTATTACATATACCAACTGTATAAAGTATATAAAAAGTGAAATATAGACAGTCAGGTAAGAAAATAAGACTCTAAAAAATGGGTTTCCAATGGCAGTTACAATAAAGACATCTGGGATTGATAAAAACAGATCTTCTGCAAAAGAGAAGTTATCCATAAATCTTCATGCAAATTTGAATTTCTCTGAGCATCATTCAGGAATTTTCTTTGACTCACAAGAAGTTGGTATCCCAATAATTGAACTGATCATATGGGTTTAGGTTATAATGGGTAACTGTGCAAAGCAACAGGATCAATATCTATAGTCTTACATTTGACCACTCTAATGCCTTCTAAATATCTTGGATTATAATTCTGATAATTCCCAGACAACAAAATTAATTAAATACACATAAATAAATTATTGTAAATAAAATTGCTACCTGGAGAGCAGTAAGTTGTAAACAATCAATAACCCTCCTTTCTCACAACCACTAAAGATACAGAGGGCCATCCTCCAAAACATAGCAAGAGACCAATGTCTATTATTTTGCAGTTCCATGTAATGGACAATAGCACAGTAGTCGTGTTTGTTGCATTCATTTCCATCATAGTATGTATTTTGCTTTGCAGAGACCTGAGTTGGAATTACATTCAGTTTATCCACTCTGAAGCTTTTCTGATGCTCCATTCCCTCATCAAGCTGTAAGTTATATTGCATAGGACAAATATATGCTCTCCATGGAAATTTAAGCCTGTGAGTGGTTGGGAAACGTCCCAGAAGAAGGCCATGGCAAACCACTTTGGTTTTATTGCTGAGTGAACTATATGGACATATCAACTATTGTAGTGACCTCAGTGGTGGGATTCAAATATGTGAACAACCAGCTCTCTGTGTGGATGCTGCTTCCAGAAGTCCATTCTGGGCCTGGGCAAAAAATTAGCTACCGGTTCTGCCGAAGTGGTGCGAACTGGCTGAATCCCACCACTGAGTGATTAGCTCAAGTTAAGGATGTCTTTCCCTTTTTTCATTCCTTAAACAGAAATGGATGATTTATGGGAAAGATATAAAATGCATGAACAGAAAGAGAAAAAAAAAGAAAAATCTGTTTGGTTTCTTTAAAGATAATGGCTGAAGGTAGAAGACCAGGCACACAAACTGAGTTTCCTAGCTTCAAGGAATCGTGACAATATGTTCAACATAAATTTAAGTAGCCTACATAGAAATAGCAAACTATTAAGCATCATCATCTAAGCTGGAAATATTTGGATGTAATATTGATATCTTATTGATTGCAATAAGATATTCAAGACTGGTGACACTGCAACCATAAATAGAAGTATCACAGTCTCTAATAGGGAAGAAGCAAGACAGAAACTGCCAAAATGATGGACTAAGCATAACAAAATTTCCTATATCAGACATAATTACAAATATATGCTTTTTTTTTACAGAAAATGTCTATGTCCTTTCCTGGGAGTTCACTGTTATATCTTAATTGTGTTTTGTTTTATGAGTCTTTGTCTTTTAGCCATCTTAGTTATCGCCTCTTGTAGAAAACTGAAATATAAAGATACCAATATAAGCCAAAGATGTTATATGCTGTCACTAGTTCTATAAAAACTGTGGTTGTAAAGTGAGTGGCCAGCAGGGACTAATAAAATGGGTCTGCAGAGTATAACGGGTCATTATATTGATGTTTACTATGTTCTACAATGTTAATGTGCTACAACCATGTATGAGACTAAATATTAAATCTGTTTGTAGAGCCAAGCATTCATATTGCATTTCTAAGATATCAAAACTATATCACATGAGAGAAGCTATTTTAATCTCCTCTTCCCTTACAAGATGGCACTCATAACTGCTTCTTTCCAAGGCCAAATCACCAATCAGACTTTTCCTGTCTGTCCCTATACAGTACTAGCACAGCATAGTCCCAACTCATCACTGCTATTATTACCTGGGGTAGCACTAATTCTAAAAGGCATAAGTATCAGTTTGCTCTTAATCCTGATAAAGACATGTGCTGTAGACTTTCTTTCTTGGTTTATTCCTAGCAATAGCCCATCAACTCATCCCAAAGATACCTTTTAGCTTTAAAATAATCAAGAATTGAATGCAGAACTTAATTTAAGCAGCAACTGTATGAATGCTAAATCAAATAAATGTGTTCGGAGAGGCTGCTGCACTGAGTCTCCTACGCCTCTTTCTGTCTATTCCAATGGGTCCTATGCTTTGGTTTGTCACAGGGATTTGACTGACAATCAACTGGTGACACTTCCATTGGCTGGCTTGGGTGGATTGACTCATCTGAAGCTCAAAGGCAATCCTGCACTGTCTGAAGCATTCCCTAAAGAAAGTTTCCCCAAGATACGGTGAGCTTCATTTCTAATTTCTGGCTTCCCAAGGTCAAAACTTAATTTACTTCGATCTGCCTTTTGCTGTCTAAGTCTCTTTGTCTAGGCACTTCCATATAATTCAGTTCAGCTAAAGGTTTGAGCAGTTGTAACTTCCTGCTTGCACTTTGTGTTCATCATTGATTTGAGAAATTGATGAATCATTGAATAGCTTGTCATGGGCACCATCCAAACTCACATACACAAGCAATCAGCATGGTAACCTATCAGTCTGATACAAAGCAAGCATCCACTTGGTTATAATACAGGCAGCTAACACAGGGATTAGTTCTGGTTCTATAAAGAGACTGAATGATCTCTTTATTTGCAGGAATATAAAGCAAGAAACTATGCAAATAGAGTGCAGAATTTCCTTATTTTATATTCCAATAAACACAGAGAATACTAAGAGACCATGAACATATGATACAAGCAAATACTTATTTATGCCCATTTAATTGTTTTAGCTTTCCCAAACAATCTTGGGAACTACAGTTCTATGAAAATGGTGCTAGAAATTATCTGTCATGAATCCTTAGCCATATTTACAAAATTAGTTTCCAGAGAGAGGGAGTGGTGGTTAAATTCATCAAGATTTATATATTTATATATACAATATATTTATATATACATGCATACATTTATGCATAATAACCAGAATCAAAAGAAGCAGTATGGACATCATAACAATTTCTTACCTTTACCAATTTAAATTTCTGGTCCTGAAAAGTTTAAGATTTGAATCGTCTATATTTACAATATAAAATATAATAAAACTTCAAATAAATTAATCTCAGTTTACAATATAACACAATGCAATAACAAAGTAAAACTAAAAAATAAACATGACAATGTAAGATAAAAAGGCTATAAAATACTGATAGTGAATAATTACATTTGAGTGGCTATCCAGAAATGTTCATTCTTCACTAACTTCCAAAAGGCTGTCACTTTTTATATTCTTGGCAAAGGTATCCTAAATAATTTTATTTCTACACTTCCTGCTTCTTGCTCATTGCCCTTTTTCTGTGTACTAGTTGGACTGACATGAGTAGCATAATCTTAGTCTTCAATTACTATACTACGTGATATACTGAGAATGCAACAAACATGACTACTGTGCTATTGTCCATTACATGACATTGCAAAATAATAGATATTGGTCTCTTGCTATGTTTGGGATCAGGATGGCCCTCTGTATCTTTAGTGGTTGTGAGAAAGGAGGGTTATTGTTTACAAGTCTGTTTGAAAAATGCCCATGCAAAATGCTCTTCTACTGTGAGAGTGTTAAAGGTCAAGATCTTTGATCTGAGAATTCTCCATCTTAACTTTATCCCTTTCCATGTTCAATTTGCAAAAAAAACAAAAACCCAGCCACCTTAGTTCCAACATCTGTTTTTTTGCCCATATGGGTGAAGAATGAAGTATACCATAACTGATAACTCCATGTTCTTCTTCATAGGGTCTTGGAGGTGCCCTATGCGTACCAGTGCTGTGCCTATGGAGCATGTGGCAACTTCTTCAAAATCTCCAGTCAGTGGGACTCGGAGGACATGAGTCCTGAGGATGATGGTGGCTACAAGAAAAACCTGGGACTTGATCATTGTAAGATCAAGTTTTGTTTTAGGCTGCTTCTGTCTTTTAAGTTTGCAAGATTTAAGTTTGCAAAATCTGAGGTATAGCTTAGAATAACAAATGCAGGAATACTGTTGAGAAGGAAAGTCTACCCAAGCTCGTTTTACATGTAGTCCTCGACTTACGACTGGTCACTTAGTGACCATTTGAAGTTATAATGGACCCTCTCCCAAAGCTACTTATGATCAAATTTTGAATCTACGATAGCTGCATATGGACACACTGAGGTCCCTTGATCTCATTTTGAGACTTGGCAACCAGCTCACCTTTATGGCTGTTTGCAGCAGCCCTCAGTTATATCATTGCAATTTTTTATGCTTTTTGTCAGTTTCCAACAAAAAAAACCCATGGATTTGTTTAATGACCATAACATTTACTTAATGATTTCCACAAAAATATCATAAAATTGGGTCCATAGTGACCCCCTTAATAACTACGGTATAATGACTTATGACCATAAACTCAACTACTGTCATAGGTTGAGGACTATCTGTATTTGGGGTATTTATTTATTATTAGAAAGTGAGTTTGCTTAAAGCAACAGGCTAGAAACCAGGAGAGCATGAGTTGAATGAAGCTAGTTGGGTGACTTTGGGCTTGTCATTCTCTCTCAGGATTAGGAAGAAAACAGTGACAAACTACTTCCAAAAATCTTGCCAAGAAAACTGCAGGGACTTGTCCAGGTAATTACCAGGAGTCAATGAAGGTTGTGTACATGCACACACATGCATGAGCACGCACACAGGCAGACACACACACACAGACAGGCACAGAGGAATTGAATGGGCAAGTGCTTAAGGGAAAAGGTAGTCTTTCAGACAGTGAGGCCTGAGGTGCTTAAAGCTTCAGAGGTTAACCTCAGCACCTTAGATGATGACTGGGGGACAATTGGTAGCCAGCACACTATTACCTTGTCCCTATATCTGGTTCCTATTAGAAATCTAGCTACCACATTTTAGACCATTTGTGCTTTTTAGAAACAGACCCATTGCATTAGTCCAAAGTGATGATGATTGTTGCTAAACCAGGTCAATTCGGAAAGGGTTATCGTTGGCACTAGAGCCATACATGTGAAAATTCACTCTTAACTATAGCTATTACCTGTAAATCCAGTGGCAGCAGAGGTCAAAGTGCTCTCTCCAACGGCCAATCTGTTTGCAGAGAAGCGCAACCCCATCCAGAATAAGTTTTCTCCTTAACAATAACGCCTCCATCTCATTTAGAGGTCCTTTCAGCACAACCTTCTAGGAAGGTCCCTGACAAAAAGGACCAGAGCTACCAGAATACAGTATACAAGTAGTCCTCAACTTACGACCACAATGGAGACCAAAATTTCTGTTGTTAAGCAAGTTGATTGTTAAGTGAGTCTTGCTCAGTTTTATGAATCTTTTTGCCACGGTTCTTAAGAGACTCACTGCAGTTGTTAAATGAAGCATGCAGTCATTAAGTGAATCCGACTTTTGCAAAGATTGCGAGTGGCGATCCCATGACCCCAGGACATTGCAACTGTTGTAAATACATGCTGGTTGCCAAGCACCCAAATTTTGATCACATGACCAAGGGATGCTGCGTCGGTTGTAAGTGCAAGGACTGGTTATAACTCAATTTTTACATTATAACTTTGAATGGTCACTAAAAGAATGGTTGTAAGCCAAGAACTACCTGTAAATGGCGATCACTCCATCTGTACACTTCCACTGCTACTGTAATGTTTATGACTAGTCTCAATCTTTTATCAACAAGTACTTCAAAAGAAAGACTTAGATTTTATTTCAGAAAAGTTCTGTATAGTTAGACGTCTTGTGGCTACTAGGGAGAAGAGATCTAGTACTCAAATCTTTCTGTGGCAGGGGGGATTTCTGTGAAGTTGCAAGTGACATGCAAAAACATTGATGGAAGTATATGAATTCTCAAACCACCACATTGATTGTTTATTTGCTGCATAACATGATTGCATAAACATGCAGCCCACACACATACCCAGGAACTAGACTGAGAGTGGACTTGAAATGCGAAACTTATTTGATGCAGACAACTGGGGAGACGAGACTTGCTAACTCTTGTTCCTTTTAGATCTTGGTTTTAAATCGTGGCCTAAAGTATAATAGTCTTATCATACTTTATTATAGTTATGCAAACAGTTCCTCAGATTTGGTCAGATATGATTGCAAGATTGAAGGGATAAGTCTTTGCTTGCAATCTGCTTAATGATTTCTGGGTTCGAATAGAATTTATATTTAATTGGTATTCTTGTGTTATCATAAACTTCCCCAATCTAGCCCCTTACTCTACATTTCTATACTTTGGGAATAAAGGAATAATAATAGGAGCTGTGCTGGTGCAGTGGTTAGAATGCAGTATTCCAAGCTGACTCTGCCCACTGCCAGGAGTTTGATCCTGACCAGTTCAAGGTTGACTCAGCTTTCCATTCTTCCGAGTTCAATAAATTGAGGACCCAGATTGTTAGGGGCAATATGCTGACTTTGTAAACTGCTTAGAGCAGTGGTTCTCAACCTGTGGGTCGGGACCCCATTTGGGGTCGATCGACCATTTCATGGGGGTCGCCAAGCAAGGCTGTCCGCCATTTTTTTTGTCCGCCATTTTTTTCCCTTTTCCGGCGGGTGCCTTACCTCCCTTGGGCTGGGCCAGCTGGTGGTCGGCCTGCTCCATCTCTGCCGCTTGCCAGCTACGCCTCGGTCGGCGCAGGGGGCGGAACCACGCATGCGCGGCGCTCCCGGGCAGGGAAAGTCCTCGACTTACGACCGGTTGGGTAGTCCTCGACTTACGACTGGTTTAGTCCTCAACTTACGACCGGTTTAGTCCTCGACGTACGACCGGTTTAGTCCTCGACTTACGACCGGTTGGGGTCGCGGCATTAAAAAGGTTGAGGACCACTGGCTTAGAGAGTGCTGTAAAGCACTATGGAGCAGTATCTAAGTCTTATTGCTATTGCTAGTTTTTAAAATAGGGTATATAGATATCTGCTCCAATTACCATTTTTTCCCTACTGAAGGTTGATTTACTATATGGGAACACCTTATACCCATTCCTCACTCAATTCCTGTGTTACCTCCTGCTTTCAGGTACAAAGAACATAGTGCTTGCAGATTGCTACCTGATGGTTTGTGTAGTCATGAGCATGTTGATGTAGGAATTAATGTCCACTCTTTGGGAAGCAGACAGCCCACTTTGATTATTCCAACATGAGTATAATCACATTTTCTTTTGTCACCTTCCAGAACTACCAGTAAATCTGTGGTTTCAAGGAGGACATTAGTTTATCATTTACAATGGAGTCTTGTGGTTCTGCATCTGCTTGCCAGTGGCTGGGAAGAAGGGTTTGCTCTCTTCTCTTCCTGGAAATTTTTTTAGTTCAGCCACAGTCCGAGCGAAAAAACAGAGTTGATTCAAGCCAGCAACAGAAGGGGTCTTACATATAGTGTACATCAGACCATTGAGTCTTGCTATGCATTCAATAGCATACAAGCTCATTTTTTGCTTGCCAGTTCAATGGAAGCTCTGTATGGCTCCCTTTGTATAATTAGGCTGCTTTGCTGGCAGGATGTTTGTGGGAAAAGAATATGCATCTTTTCTAAAACTGTCCCAAATCATGTTCTCAACACCTTCAAGAAAATAAACAGCAAAGTCTAGACTACTGGGCAATGGGTCCTTCTCTGGGTGCCAGCATCTTCCTAGTTCAGCTGAGGTGGATCTGGGTTTACCTTTGTAAGGAAGTAGCAGTGACTTGAAATTCAATCTCTCTCTCTCTCTCTCTCTCTCTCTCTCTCTCTCTCTCTCTCTCTCTCT